ATGTGAAAACGGAACCGGGTCGACCCATCTATATCCGGGTCGGGTCATGAAAGTTTAATTTTCGGAACACCCATACCGAGGGTCAACCTTCGGTTTCGACCCACAATATGTGATCTGCCAATTTGACTGCAAAAGCTTCATTTTCCTTCTTCCAGCCATACAGACCCTCGGTATCAAGCCACAATATGGAGGCTGTCATTTTCTCATTTCTTCAATTCTTGTCCATCAATTACACTCTTTTTTTACCAACTTGTGCCACATCCATATCCTCTTGAATTCCCATCATTTTGCATCCAATTAAGCTTCAAATCATTTCGTTCCCAGATTCACCATCTTTAAACCTATAAAAACACAAAGAGATGCAAATGCCCCTAAAATGCCTAAATGATATGCAAATACAGGATGAAAATGTGATTAAACCGTATCTAAATAAGGTAAAATATGAGAATATCATTGTTGAAACTCCTTCACCGAATGCAGAGGAGGCAATGGGTCTTGGAACACTTCGGATCCAAAGCGACGTGATAAAGGCGTCAATATGAAATATGTTAACTCCACCTCCAAAGCTTCCATCACCGTCTACGGAGATTGGACCCATGATGAGATCCGCATCATCATAGACATCGAACATTGGCTCTTCGTCGTCGTAGACATCGAAGATTGGTGCTCCATAGATTTTGTTATAGAACTCCACAGATCATGGCTCTGATACCAAGTTGATAAGTCCCAATATTAGAACTAACCAATTTGTTGATCAAAACAAGAACACACGTTACTTTAGACAATTTTCTCTTCATATTGATTTCACCATTGTAGCATCTTAAATACAAAACTAAAAGAAAGTAACTACTACAATATGAACTGTCTTGTTCATGTTCCCACTAGTTTAGAAAAAACACTAACTCCTCATCTCCACATTCTTTGACATATAACCGACATCGGTTTTCTCCGATTAAGCCGATTGATTCTCATCAAGAAATTGGTGCAGCTCGAGGCTTTCAATGCAGGGGATTGTGTGCTTATGACTTCGATATTTTCTGCAGCGAATGATGCTCAAGGTTTTGCTAGAGTCTATGAAAGGGAGCACGGGCATATAGGGATATGGAAAGAGAAAGAACGAGGCAAGACTTGCATAGAGTTAAATATTTAGCTGGTTGAGAACGCCTTTTACTCAATGATCTCAATAGGTCTGATTTATGTGTGTGTTTGGCTTTGCTTATTACAGCTTCGAGAATTCTCCAAGCCATGATTCCTATGTTACAGCTTGATCAGTTTTGCGAGAAGTTGGTGAGTAATGCTTGTTAATTCCTATTGTTTTTCATGAGAATCGATTCTTCTGTGTGCAAAGGTTTGGAATTGGTTACAGATGAATGATCTTGACAGGAAGGTTAGGCGTGGACGAGAACGTCTTGCACAAGAAGTTGAACCTCCTCCACCACCTTCTCTATCTGCAGAAAAGGCTGAACAATCGGCTGTTTCACTAATCCTTCTATTGTTCTTGGGGAATGATATGAGCCAATCCTTTTTGAATCTCTGGTTGACATGTTTTGGTTAGGATTTTTTAATGTTGTGTCTAGTGGCTCTTTGAGCTCTTTGTAACGAAAACAAAGGTAAACTTGGGGTTTGGTTTAATTTTAACAAAATAATTTACACTTAAAAATAAAATAATTTAAAAAATTTAGGGTTGTAACTAATGGAGAGGAACCAAATTAAAACATCTTAATGGGGTTCTCAACTTTTAATAATGCAAAATTTACATTAAAAATATTGTTAAAAACCCTTTAGAGGTTATAACTAATGGAGATGGTCTAAGAATCTGAGTTTTGTTGATGACGCTTAATTATACTAGCATCACTTTTTATGGTTTGGTTCAAGTTTTGTTGGGTTTGGATTCATTTGTTTATCAAGAACATATTTTTCAAATTCGGGTTTGATTCATCTATAGTGAAACTAAAGATAAACTCTAACAAAAGTTGTTTCATGTCGCTTTGATTTTGGTTCGGTTAAAATGTCTACTCCTAGTTAGATTTGATTGGTTACATTCTTTTTTTTATATTGAGGTAAAAGAATATATTGTTTGTATTTTATTCACATGTAACCAATCAACAAAATAGTAATTAAAAAAGTAAAAAGAAAAAAATGGCAATTTTGTATGTTTATGTATTGTTGGTAATTTTAAGTAAAATTTTAATTATTCTAGTTATTTGGAATTTAGTTTCCTATACGAAGGAACGTATTATTTGAAAGCCATCATAAAAGGAAAGTATTGATTTATGTAATTTGTTAGAGTATGATTATGGGTGGTAAATAAAAGTAAATATAAGAGATTTTTAATATTATAAAATTTTTATATTTATCCAAACCATTTTTGGGTTGCCAAATATAGAATTTATATTACCTATATTTAGTTGGTAAATATAACA